GCCGCGCCCGAGATTCGAACCCGCCGCCCCTCCTCGGTTTAGCGGTGATCACACGCGGCCGGGCTGAGGAGACGGGCAGAGCGCTGCCCTGCTCACCTTCTTCTTCAGCTTGGCGTACTTCTTCTGGAGGGACTCCTCTTCCTCCGACAGAGAGGTGGGGAACAGGGCCATCCTGGACACTAGAGGGACCGGGCAGTCCAATGACACCACAGAGCATTAGAGTCACATGACGTCCCCAATGACATCAGAGCATTAGAGTCACATGACCTCCCCAATGACACCACAGAGCATTACAGTCACATGACATCCCCAATGACACCACAGAGCTTTAGAATCACATGATGTCCCCAATGACACCACAGAGCTTTAGAATCACATGATGTCCCCAATGACACCACAGAGCTTTAGAATCACATGACCTCCCCAATGACACCACAGAGCTTTAGAATCACATGACCTCCCCAATGACATCAGAGCATCAGTCACATGACCTCCCCCAATGACATCACAGAGCATCAGTCACATGACCTCCCCAATGACATCACAGAGCATTAGTCACATGACCTCACTATTGAAATCCCCGATGTCATCTCAGAGCTGTAGCCACATGACATCCCCAATGACATCACTCACGGCTCTTTATAGTCACATTAGATCACCAACGGCATCACGGCACTTTATAGTCACAAGACACCGCCAATGACATCACCAATGAAAACACAGTGCTTTATAGTTACGTGACATCACCAGTGACATCACGGCACTTTATAGTCACATTATATCACCAATGGCATCACAGTGCTGTGCGTGTGACATAACTCTTCCTGCACTCGGAGGTTTAGCCTAATGACATCACCGCCTTATATACTGCGTTGGGACGTTTTATTCTTACATTTTCAAAGCAGGTTCCCGCCCCCAACAAACCACCACTTTCACCTTCAGCGCTCTGCATTCTGGTTTTAAACGTCGCCTGAGACGAGGGCGGCTGCTTAATCAGTCAATCGGTGATTCAATCGATCGATCGATCAGAGCTGCGATTTCAAAGACAGCTGCGATTTCAAAGACAGCTACAGGGTAAACGCCCCGGTGCCAGTCTTGTGCCAGTCCTGCCCGGCGCCACACGGTGCCCATGCAGTCTGGAAGCGAAATCGCGTTTATTGGCTTTTGCATAAACAACA